AAAACCGGAAAAGGCGGTGGGAAGAACGAAAAGGTGTGTGAGATACGCCACAATAGTTATAACCTGTTCCCTGTGTCGTTAATCTTAGTTTTTTGCCCTTCACCCCTCGCGAAACTTTCCAAGAAAAGTACGACGCAAAATTCTGACTCGAGCGTTTCTTTTTTTCTTTTTTTCAGAACATATCGGTCCGCTCTCCACTTCCTGTCCACCCCTATGGCCAGCTCGTATCTTTCATTACCGGCTGTATATATCGGCCAGACAGATTGAATGATCCGAATACGGGACGAAAACGAAAAAAAAAAAGAAAAAAAAACAAACAAAAATTTATGATACCCTGTCCGCGGAATATCCCTATTCAGCGGCGATGCGCCATAAGCCGCCGGCCTGAGATCTGGGGCAAGATCGAAATTCAATATGGAGAGCAACGCGCGGCCACGGCAATCGAGGGCCCACGAGTTTTACGAACGACTCGGAGACATTAAATTTAACGAATCCATGGACAGAACGAAACGTGCTCGTTGATATTATCGATACACGAACGAGCCTCTCTCGGTTTCTAGTGGCCTCCCAGTCAAATTGAGTTTCTGCGCCCTGGCTATATACCGAATCCACCAGCCGTCTGTCGAATTGAATCACCTTTGGTAATGGTTTCTATAAATAATTAAGACACCGATAAAAATGATTGAATCCACATTAACCGATACACGCTCATAAGATTTTAATATGTTTGTAAATGTTACTCGCTTCATCACCGATACTGGTGAATATTTTTTTTATCTTAAAATAATCTCTGACGCCGAAGTAACGATTTGAGGGGAGAAATGTTCCTGCAAACGTAACGTTCGGTTTCTCAAGAATTTAATATTTCACCTCTTCGAGAGTTGCAATTAATACAGGCGATACGAATTTTCGCGAAGAATACTATTCTTGATACCACGAAAATTGCTTCGTTTCGTTGATCGCCGTACTTACAGGATAAGTTGGACGATATCGACACGCTGTTAATTCCAGCTGTCCTTCCTCTCAGCTTTACCCGCAAAGCGATAACCTACCCCATTGCTAATGGCGGACATTATTACGAGCAACTTCGAGAACTTACCCCCTCGCCCCCTGACGTTCGAGCAGTGGATCCACGTGTATAGAACGCCGATGCGTACTTATCTGCAACCCGTATCCACAGTCGTGTGATCGAAACGCGGGGCGAAGTAACTTACAGCCGTGGGCATGTATCGATTGCGAATGAAACGGAGGACAACTGACAGGTAGCTGCTCCTGATAAATAAATTAGAGAATGAAAATGGTTGACACTGCATCAAGGATCTTCGACGTGCCCTCCTCCCCCAATAGAAATAGGATAATTATTCCGTACAACTTGCTTCCCCTATGTTTATTTTTCTACTTTGGGGCTATAATACACTCAATATTAAATTAACCCTATCAGTGTCGCATTAATTCTACGAGATAAAAAAAAATATGTTTTTACATATTTTCCTCTATTTAGGTTCAAATAAGATTAAAATAATTTTTCAAAACTTTCTTTTGTATTTGTACAAAACAAGTAATGCACCTAATTATACACATCCGTTTTTGATAGCTATATACTGAGATTTTAATAATGCGTAAAATGAACAAATGTTGCAAATGACCTATTTCATTTTTTCTTTACAATTATATAAATACAAAAACATCGATTTTGAAAACATTTTTAGTAATTATGTCAAATTGAAAAGACCTTACCTCATCTGCCTACGAATTCCTTCTCCAGGGTGACTTAATTATAAATATCGCAGAAATTGATCAGCATACAACGGCACTTTTATTGGATTATATTCACAAATGTTGTCAGTATTAAAAAGCCAACAGCAAGTAAAAAAAGTTGATTGTAAGTACCCTTAAAAAATATTTTAAATACACATGCATAATTATGCACATCGAATCTGAAAGAGTTAATTCTACAAATGAATATGACAATGGCTTAGGAGGTACACTCAAATTTTGTATTTCGAACTGAAACGGTTCAGACAGTACAGAATAGAAAGTAATTTTCTACGATTGTTCTTCCCGAGCATAATGATTTTGTGTAAAGATGAAAATAAAGCCTGAAGTGAAATGCTTGCTATTTAATAGCGCAGTTTTCAAAATATAAACGCTCATAGAACTCCCAATTCGACGAGAATTAACCCTCACTCTCATGGTTCCTCCGGCAGTGTGAACGACGAAGAAAAAAAGGGAATGGGAGAAGAGAAAGGGAAGAACACGGAGCAACGAGTGTTTGTCAAACAGCGTTAAAAAGAAAGAGTCGTCGTTTTTTCAATCCGTCGCTCACACCACCGGCCAGGAGCTATCGATGCGTGCCGTGGGCGTGAATTCCGCGGAATTGAAGCTTTGCTCCTCAATTAACCTCCCGGAAAAAAAGGATGATGCCTCACCGGGGAAAAACAATTGATACGATCTTTTTCGCATCGCCGTTGCACCGTGCGAAATGCATTCAGCTTTAAAATCGTTCGCCTCGCTCCCGGCTTCTACCCGCCACCACCACCACCACCACCCCCATTGGCCATCCCAGCGCGCACAACCCCCCGTCCCAACCGATATTTTCGTAACCGATCCCATAAACACGTGGATGGGTTCCGAGTCAGAAACTTTGGAGCACTCGCGAGTCATCGCAATTCATCGCACCCGCGACGATTCACCACCCCCCGGTGTCACTCACCCCTCCCCTATCTCTTCTCCATTCGCTTCGTCGATTCGAAGAACCATCCCCGGTATACATCTTTCTAGGGAATAAAAAATATTGCAATAATTACGCGGGAATATCGGGGTCGTACCGATGACACGCTTTTACTCTTTCTTTTCTCTTTTTGTTCCGGGGGGAGGGGAGGTTGAAACATGGGGTAATTCTACGCTGAGAGCTGTATCGAGCGATATTTGGATTGAACGGGTTCCACGGGAGTTTTTTTTATAAAAATTCCTCGGGGGAAGTGAATTACATCGACTATTTAATATAAACTTTTAACGTTCCCGGGAGGGTGTGGAAAATGGAAATTGCGATCAATGGAATAACTGCTCGTTTGTTGCATTGCATTTGGGTGGAAATTATTTTTACGGCGTGGTAAGTTTTAGCGGTGTGTCGTTTTTTGATTGGATGTTTTATGTAATGACTGACGCTTCTTTTTGTTTAATTTCAAAGACGGTCGGGGTATTTCGGGTTCTCCCGATTGTAAAATTATGACGTTTAAATTTCCGTCCTTTGATAACTCGTTTTAATCGAACGCGTGCTTGATCGAATCGACGATTCCCCGTAATTTTCTTTCGAGGTATACAACACGCGTACACGTAGCTTAGAATAGTAATGAGAGACGGTTCCGTGACGAGAGATCAGTCGATAACGGTCGTCATAATTTATTAACGGAGCACTATCAATGGATAATAGTCGAGTCCTATTGCTATAACGATTCTAATATTACGTGTGACTGAGCCGATTCCGTTTCTCCAATTATACGTTTATACATACGATATATTCCTGTCAGTTCTATTCCATAACTTTCATTTACTAAGAAAACAAAGCTTCTTTAATCTCGCTCGCCGTATAGTTCGATTATTATGCAAACATCCGCTTTTTCTCCAGATGTACTTGAAAAGTAATTAAACGGAGGTGTTCCAGCAGAAAAGAAGGACATGTTTTTAAGGGGTGTGCCACCTTAAACGCATGAAAATAACAAGTTTATTTAGCAATGTTTTTCTTTTAAATAATGTACTCAATAAATAATCTTATTAATAGCATTTATTGTAGATCTATTGAAGATTACAAAAACCTTTTATGTTTATTTTTTTTTCAACAAAATGGCTGTGTTAGAACCGCTGCGGTTCTGAATTCTTTAACATTGACTCGGCAATTGGCGTTGCCCGCTTCTCCGATCTGGTGGGTCTTAGAACAAAAACACAAAATTTTTTAGTTTCTACATGACAAAAACTAAATAGAAATAAAGAAAGAAATATAAATGGTATTTAGAAATAAACAGTTGTATGAAAATGTTCCAATAAAAATTCTGATGTTTAACACAAAAATTGGGTTACAAAGATGTCTGTAAACAAATATTTTCGAACAATCGTAAAATCCGTATTTGTAACAGATGCACCGCGGAAAGGCTTTAACACCGTCATTTTGTCGAAAAAAAAAGAAAAAGTTTTTATAGTCTTCAATAGATGTAGATATAATAAATGCCATTAATAAAATTTTCTGTCGAGTCCATTATGTAAAAGAAAATAATTGATAAATAACGCTATGCTTTCATGCGTCCAAGGTGGATCTCCCGTTAATGTCAGAATTCTAACGTGCGTGAATCTTCAAAACTCGAGTTGGGTTACGATCGAGAAAATACGTACGTGAATAATCGTACTATAGATAAATGTTGATTGTCAACTGTTATAAAATGAATAAAAAATAAATAAAATATCTGATCCTATATTTCAATCGTATGTCTCCGTAGCGCCAGAACACAAAAGAATCCCCCGCCTTACGTGTAACTTAATCCCCCTACCGGTAATTACATTCAGACCCGACTAGATTTAAAGTTATCCCAGTCCGGGTAAGCGGCAGATATCGATTTCCGTGGAATCGATTCGATAAAATTAATAAAGAGCTTCTGTTAAGCTCCTTAGTCGCTGATAAACGATGCGGGTGGTTCCACCGGGACGGGGGCGTGGTGGCTCGAAAGGCGGAATGGGATTTCGTGAATGTGATTCTATATTTGTATCGACGGTAATGTAATTACGTTCATGTTCGATCTCATGACAACCGGGAACAGACGACGATCGGTGGAACAACGCTCTTGCATACACTCTGATATTTCGGAATATAATTATTCCGTGCTCGGTTTTATTAACGTCACCGTGCGCTTAATTAACATTGGAACCGCTCGAAGAATCGATCGAGGCGCGGGCGTGGGGATACTTCTTCGGGGGCTGTTTAATTAATTGGAATCAATATCTGCTTTCAGATCAGCCAACTGGTCGAAGAAGTGTCCAGGTTACAACAGAGCCTGCAACGTCTTCAGGAGACCAGCGCGCAGGCGACGGTGAGGCTCGAGGAAGAACTCGAGGCCCGTAGACAGCACATCAGCAGACTGGAGAGCAAACTCGAACGACAGAGGGACTATGACGACCTGAAACGGGAGATTAGCGCGCTGAGATCGGTCGATCTCTCGCAGATCCCGACCGGCGAACCGGGCAAGAGCCTGGAGCACCTTCTAATGGAACGCTCGAAGGCGCTTCAGCAAACAGAGATCTTGAAGCCATCGTCCAACACCCCGGACGCGCTCGGTGAGTCAATTGAAACAGATTTTTCATCGACATTAGGGCGTACGAAATACAGTGATGCCTCGAGAAAACTTTCTTGGTTGTGCGACCACAAAATAATATCAGTTTTTCTTTCTGTTGTATGGAAACATTAACCATAACGTGACAGTTCAAGGGACAACTCGGTCCATCTCATTTTTAATGATCTGTTCATAATTGTTTTTTGCAAAGGAAAAATAATATCCCCATTTGTAACGATATTCGTTACAGGATCCAAAGCAACTTACAGGGGCATCGCTGTATTTAAGATTAGATCGATCAGCTTCAGCAAAGTAACAGTTAAACGTTAGGAGTATCGACTATGTTTCTGGTGACAGTAACTTTAGATCAGGAATTGTCGAGGATACTGTTCGCTAAACAGTTTGCAGCAACGTTAGAAACGCAGATACCGATTCTTTCTGTTTAATACTACTGGTACTGATTCCTGCGCTAAAGCTCCAATCTTCGATCCCCGACTCTCTCTCTCTCTCTCTCTCTTCGAGGCTACGTCGAAGGACCCAGTATTGAGTAAGAGTACAAAAAAAAATAAATAAAAGGACACGAGTCACGCAACGCGGACGCTTATTTTATAAAGAACGAGGGATGACTGAAGGAGCTTACCGAGAGAAAAGGACCAACAAAATAACTCTGCTTGCCATTGTGTTCGCACTTCTGTTTAACTATATAATATCTTTTTATCTCTCCCTTCTGTCTTTCTCCCACTTTTTAACCTGTACCTCTAAGTTTTATTCTTCTGTTAATTTTTAGACCTATTTCACTGTCTCTCCTCCCTTTTGTCGCTATCGAGCTTCTGTCGTCCTCTCACAAGTCTATTTCTTTTTCTCTGGCTCCCTTTTTCTCTCTCTCTCTCTCTCTCTCTCTCCCCCTTTCTCTCTCTCTCTCTCTCTCTCTCTGTCTCTGCCTGTCTCCCTCCGTGATCCTCAACTGCTTCGACTGCACTTTTTCGAGCTACTCTCTCGCTGGTACGCGCATCAACGTACCTTTGTAGTAGGAGGTACTAACAAAACCTGCACGTTAACTCAGATCCGTGCCCACCCCACCCTGTCAAACACCACGTATACACGATGATCATCCAACCCCCCCCCCTCCTCTCCCTCCAAGCCCAGCCCTTACGTCACCCGGAGCTCTCACTACGAGCATCTGCACGCTGGGAAACGCAAACTTCGTACACGCAAATTTGCGAACGGTACCCCGTTAATATTTCTCGAGAGCGTTACATACATACTTATCTTTTTTTTTATCGGGGGACAGAGTTTATTACGCGTTGATCGGGAGCAAGTATGAACCGAGCGAGAGAGAAGCCTTCACAGGCAGAGAAAGAGACATCATTTTCGGGATGTAAATACCAGGCGAACCCTTCCCAATCTCGCGACTTCTCCTTCAGAGGACTGAACATTTCTCTTTTACGATAAAGTCCAAATTCCACGAATTGATCGGTTCGCTCTGTTCACGGATAAAAGAGAACCCAAGAAAGAAAGAAAGAAAAAGGAACGAAAGGATTCCTATCGAAGTGATGAGGGAAAGGTCGGTTGATACGTCGTGACACTTTTCCTCTCGTTGGGCCACGTTGTTCCTCGTTCCTGTGGATCACGCGACGAAGCGTTGAAAAAGAGAGTCTCGGTCGTCGTCTGTCGTCCAGGAGGAGGAATGAAAAACAAAAATAAGCTCGAGTCGATCGTGAATCTACATATATCGCTTCACTGTGATCCGCGGTGTTTGAGCTCGTGTTGACGCGGTCCCTTGTGTTTTTGGTGGTTGCAGGTGGACTATCGTCACCCCTGCAGCGCGCTTCCACCGCATCGCCCCACGGGGTCGGGGCTGTACCGCCTTCGTCCCACGTGTCCTCCCAGCAACCACCGCCGCCGCCCCCAGCAGCAGTTTCCCTCCCTCCGCGATCCACTCCGACACCGTCTTCGGCGACCTCGACGACATCCAGCCTCCTCTTCCCGCCTCCTCTCCAGAACGTCGAAACCTTCGGTTCCTTCCTCGGCGAAGAGATCGTCGCTAACTGGAGGCGGACATTGGAGAGATCCATCATGAACCAACAGCAACAGCAGCAGCAACAACAACAACAACAACAACAACAACAACAACAACAACAGCAGCAGCAGCAGCAGCAACAACAACAACAACAACAACAACAGCAACAACAGCAGCAGCAGCAGCAGCAACAACAACAGCAACAGCAACAGCAACAGCAACAGCAACAGTCGATTCCACTGAATCCGTTGTCACAGCAACAACAGTTACAGCAAGCTCAACCGCTGATCGGTCTGCATCCTCCAACTAGTACCAGTAGTATAAATCATCTTCCATCGCCCACAGACCCATCGTCCAGTTCCAATACGCCAGCCAAATCGAACACCCCATTAGGAACCACTCCACTGAGTTGCCTTGACGTAGCCGAGAAGGCACCCACGCCGGTCTCAGGCCACGAAACGCCTGCACCACCCACGCCATCGTCTACCACCGCGTTAACATCACCACCGAGCTGTCAACCACCCACCACGATGATCGAAACGACTGCTTCCTCGGTGTCTATCAACGGCGGCAGCATGATACCCGCTATGCCCACTGCACCACCGCCAAAGAGTCCCGCGGACCAGGAATCCTGTCACAACAACAATAACAGTCATCATCTGGCGAACAATAACATCGGCGGCCTAAGTGTTCTGGACACCCTGAAGAGCCCGTTTCGGTTCGACGACAGGACGCATCCATTCAGATTCGGCGATGAGTTCGGAGCGGCCGGTATGGCCGGACGACTCGGCGAATCGTTGATCCCGAAAGGCGATCCAATGGAAGCCAGACTCCAAGAGATGCTAAGATACAACATGGACAAGTACGCGTCCCAGAATTTGGACACTCTGCACATAGCCAGGAGGGTCAGAGAGCTGCTGTCGATACACAACATTGGTCAAAGACTGTTTGCCAAATACGTTCTCGGGCTCAGCCAAGGAACCGTCAGTGAACTGTTAAGCAAACCGAAGCCCTGGGACAAGCTCACAGAAAAAGGCCGCGACAGCTATAGGAAGATGCACGGTTGGGCTTGCGACGAGAACGCTGTAATGCTGTTGAAATCCCTGATACCCAAGAAAGGTGAGTACGAACGCTCTCTCTCTCTCTCTCTCTCTCTCTCTCTCTCTCCAGTTGTCCCGCCGTTAAGGATCTGTACGAATCACTTCTATCTGAGCGGTGAAGATCAAACGATTGAGTTGAAACGGGACCATCTAATTACATATTATCATTGCTCGAGAAGTAAATTGTATCATGTGATCTGGTTCCGATTGGATTTTTAAATCGGCAGTTTCGACAATGGTAAACTAGACCTGGCCAATTCGATATTGTAGTATATACGAGTAATTAGATCCGTTTCTTCTTGAATGGTTCATCAACAGGTTGTTCCATCAGAAGAGTGGTAATTAATGTTTCGAGTGAATTGATGATAATGAACCAGTCGATGATTCTCCTGTTGATTGAATATAGATCGTTTTTGCTTTGCCGCTGATCAATTTACCGTTCGACTCCTAAAAATATCTTTTTCTGCCTCGCACTGCCAATAATCTGTTCTGCCGAATCACTAACAATCAGCTGTCAGTTAACTATATTTTCGGCTGTCTAATATGGGGTGATACTGGTGTCTCTGTTTGGCCTAACTTTATCCCCGCGGAGGAGGATGCGTAATACTGAAGCCGGAGGTCCCATCCCTCTAAATTGCAGAATCTGAATCTGATCGGAGGACAGAATCGATTCTCGATGTAGCCATGCGTTGATGACGTCGTGAACTTTCGGGGGGTATCATTCGTGGAAGGTATCGTTATATTACGTCGGAGTAGGATATTTTACAGAAAATTGAAACATGAGATCTTATTGAACATTGAATAACCTAAACGATACTATTCTGATAACTGCCAGGAGGACTCGTAGTTTGAGATGTTTGGAAATTTAGCAACCGTGAGCGTTATAGACAACTGTGCAGCAGGCTGCTTCGATTCGCAGGAGTCCATAATACACACGAAATTATACGATATTGTACAAAAATAGTAGCAATCGAAAGTGTCTTGTCTTATTTACTTAAAATAGTAGAAAATAGGTACATATATTAGAGCGATTGGACTATGGATGTTTTACACATATAGGGTGAAAACAGTGGAAACAAATACGTTAACGAAAATATACGTTTTCTATTCTACTCTTAAATTTATAAATTTTTTAGTGAGTGGAATACATTTTCATTCGATTTGGGAATTTTGTAAAATCGTTTACGGACATGTGAATTTCCGTAAACATCCACAATCTAGTTGCAGAACAATATATAATATTTCATCAAAATATACATTAACCTTCGCAGTACCCTGCACCTTTCCTTGTTATGTGAACTACCAAGGAGGGAGGGTACGTTATGCCCACCTAATAAAAACCTACAATGTCTTACAAAAACTTCATATTTCGATCATATTTGGAAATAAAGGTTTAAAATATAGTATTCCATTAAAATTATATAAATTTATTGCAAATGAACAGTTTTATAAGTAACTTTTTTAAGACTGCAGAAGTTGTTTCAAAATGAGACCTCAAACAATTCAGTCATTTACACTTTCATAATCATCACAATCCTGCCATGTAACAGTTTGTTTTACTGTATCTCCCACATACATATTTGTTATACGAATCACATAAAATTGTTGTCTTGCTTAGTTTACTGTATTTATCACGTTTGCTGCGACATTCTTTTATTTTTTTACTCTTTTCAAGTTTTTACGAAACAATATCCATGTTTGACTTTTTCAGAATTTTTAAGTAATTATTTCGGCGATAATTCTCAACACAATAATATGGTGGGCATAAAATCATGTGTGTTATGAAATATCTCCTAACAAACTTCAACGAAGAAACATTTTTATTTTTCCGACCACACATAGTATTAAAAAAAAACAAGGAAATCATCTCAAAGAATACACCCAACTATTGACAAATTTAAATTAATCGGTTCTCGAATTGCCACGTTACGTTACATCTATCTTGATCAGTGAAAAGAAAAATTCAGTACCTATCGCTGCAGCAGTCACGATCGAAGGGTGAACTCGAGGATCCCGAAGGAGTGCATCGCACGTGACGCAAAACAGTTCGGAGATGACGTTCGATTTCGTCTTCAATAATCTTAATTAAATTATACAGCCAGTTGGTCCGCCGCGCTCACTATCGATTGTTTGCTGCGTTTGGCAGCCATATTGTTTAGACTAATAGCTCCCGGGAGTAGGAAACCGGGGGGGATGAGTTCTAGGCAAGGGTGCAATACATAAAGGGCACCAGAAACGGAGAAGAGGATGGGTTAAGGTGGGTAGAAAGGAAACAGGGGTCCAAGAGAGAGCACAGACGTTCTAGATCCGGCCGCACTTATCGCAAAGGTAATTTACACTTTCGCTAGATTGCCGAGGGATCGTGAAATTGTTCTGGATGAAACCGTAGCGACGATCTTGCCTCGCTTCTCATGGCCATCCTGGTGATTTCACGAAGAAATTGAGCGTGATCGAGATCGAACACGATGCTTAATCGATCCCTTTGTAGACGAGGAACGTGGAAATGTACTCGTGTGCATCAGTCATAGTACACTTGCCTTAACAAATGAAACATAAAAAAGAATTTATATTACGGAATTATTTGAATTACAAAAGAAGATTCATTGGTCACGTACAGTATAAATATAAAATTGATCGTGGCAATTTATAGACAGATTTCTGTAATATTTATGAAATAATTTCATTCCAATGTATCTATCTCTCCAAACTTTTTAATTTGGAAATACTTATTTTTTTTGTTTTCGATTAAGACCACAACTTTCTGGTTATGTCAAGATCGACACATTATGGAACCTCATTGGAATTTTGTTATTTTTACACGTATTCTAGTTACAGAAAAATTAAAAGAAGATATTAAAATTATTAATAAAAATCATGTCCGTAATAGAATTCATATTTTCCTTCAAATTGTCAACAGTCTGGAATTTAACGAACAGTATAGTTCGGCCGAGACTGGAATTGTCTACTGATTCTACAGTGGCGTTACTTTTTTCAACCTTTATCTCCCTCTTAGTTGATTCCTTCTATTTGTACCAGATTCGGTCAGTCAAACTATTACCTACATATGTGTATAAACGATTCATGGGTGCTAAAATTCGAGAAATGCAGATGACAGTTGCAAGAAAGAAACACTATCGATAATCGCTTTTGGACTGGTGTCAACTATCTTTACGTCTGTAATTTCGCGATGCGTTACTCTTGGACCAACCACCGCATAGATCGGTTGTGATGTTCGTGAGCAATAATAACCGCTGAGAACCGGGTGAACATCAATGGCCACGATCCAGATGTGTTTGTCATGGGATTAGCAGCTCGTGAAATTTTTCGGGACCGTCGACAGAATATTCGTAACGAGAAATATTGATCATTTACGCGACCTTTAGTAGATTGAGGCTGTCTCCTAGATCTGTTGGCGATTAACGGGAGCCATGACTGTCAGTTGATACGAGATCGTGTCACAACCATGGTAAAATAAATAATTTCGATCCTTCGGTTTTATGATTGCTTCGGATCAAGCAATGTTCGTAACACTTGAGTTAGAGTACCATAAACATTCGTTGTATCCTGAAGCTTCAGGATTCGAGTCATAGTCTGTTGAGACGAAATAAGGGACATCGATTTATCCCTGTACATAAATCACGACCGATTGAGCAATTTCCAAAGACCGGTATGGGAGGTTCGTTTATTCTAGTGAGTGACTTGTTAGAGGCGCACGGAGCTTATGGTAGTCAACGAACTGGCGCAATGATTAACGATTAAAGCCACTTGGGAAGTTACGATGACACTATAGTTTTAATATCGACGGCAATTAATACGCTTGATCGCGATATATCGGAAGCAAGAACACTTAGTGCATGATAAGTTACTAGTCATTCTTGTGTCGGGCCTATCGAGTTTCCATTGTAGACATATAATGATAATAACTGATCGAGATACACCGAAATTATAACAAAACAGCGCATTGTCGAAACGATACAAACATTTAGTCATTCACAAGAATAAGAAAGACATCGACAAAAGGACGGAATGTACAGGGTTATTACAAATGATTCGTCGGGTTTTGACACTAGAACTACCAAAGGAGTCAAAATGAGGGGTTGGTATCCTCTTGTAACGATGATTAAAATGTTGCAACAATGCATATTCTCAGATCTTACACAACTTTCATTACAACATGAAAGTGGAGGAACGAGTTAAGTTATAAATTTGTATATTTTCAAAAGGTTGTCATGTTTATCGACCGATCGAAATAGATATGCGTTTATCGTCGATAGTTGTAGTGTTAAAGAATTGTACTTTATAATGTATTACGCATAAAATAATGAAGGTTACATAAAAATAAATAGAAATTATCCAAATTTTAGTTATAGTTAATTTTATATCCAAAGGAAGTTATAGGACTTTAAAACTCGATGAATCATTTGTAATAACCCTGTATAAACAAAAAACTAACGGTGATCCACCAAGCAGATCCCCATACACTTGTGTTCTAAAGTTTTAACAGAATTAATTACGCACTGTGTAGTTTATTTTCGATTCTGATAAATCATAAGTAAATATGACTCAAATTGTGCCGTGTTTGGTATCATTTTAATCAGAAAAATCTCACCAATATGTTCATAAAAATTTCATTAATAAAGAACCAAAACTGAAAAAGTTTTATCGTTGCATTAGTATTGTCTCACCGACACCCGGGAATGTAACCTTTTTGTGGGCTCCCAATGTTCAGTCATCGGCTCGTGAACGGGAAGCCGTCACGACAACAAAGTATGCGGTTGCAGAGTTCCACGCCCCCCCCCCCAGTAGTGGGGATGACGCCTGGATAATAAGCGCATATCAACAAAGAGTCAATAATCGCGAGGCCCCTGTAGTAGAAAACACATCGCAAGGATAAATAAAACAGTGATCTACTATTTTTAATTCGCTGAATATATCGACGTAACAATACCTTTTTTGCGGGCAGTTGGTTAATTGTACAGAGACTTCTATAATACGTCCTTAAAAAGCATATACATGAGA